TTACTCCGCAGGTGCGGCCAATTTGTAGACGAACCTTCATCAGCCTCGGGTTAATGCACTCCACCGTCCTACCTTCCTTGCCCACACTCTCCCACATGGCCTCCTTGATCGCTATGCCCACACCGTCTACGCCCTTCTTGTCCTTGGTGCCAGTACGGGCGCCGCTCCAGATGACCACGTACCCGTCGTGTGCAATTGAACTTTGCCCCTCTCGTCGGGTCTCCTGAAGTCCTATCACATCACAGCCGGTCGCGGAACAAATCTGCATGACCGTCATCACGTTGTGACCGATGGGGTTCCTACCGCTGTAGGCGAGCGTGCGTACGTTGAACGTGCCGAACGATAGGTCGCCCTCTCGTGCCTTCTTCTTCGCAGCTGCCTTGACGGCCGCTGCGGTCTCGTGTCTCTCTCGGTCCACCTCGCGTTGCGGGTGTGCTTTCTTCCGTCTTTTCCGAGCGGCGAGTTTCCTCGCATCAATCCATCTCTGCAGAGCTCGGTTCTTGCCTGTGGTGTTTTGACGAGGAGGGTGCAGCACTCCCTCCCCGCGGTGCCCGCGGTCGTCTCCCTTCTCCCGCGAGCGGTGCTTACTGACGTGGTGTTTACGAATCTCTCTACTCCTCCAGCTTCGTGGGCCACGCTTTCCGCGACGGTGGTTGCCAGGTGCAGTTTGCCGCTTGCATTACTGCCGCGGGAACAGTGTCCATACACACCTCTCGCCACTACCACCGTCTGTGCATCCTCACCGCCACGCTGAGCCAGCGCGGCGGTGAGTTGCACCTTGGGGCACCACCCGCCTACTATCTGTTGTGTCCTGGTTCGCCCGCGAGGGACTCACTAGGTCGATTTCGGCCCCGGCCGGGGAGCAGGCCGAGGAGGGGGAAAAAAGTATGTGACCCCGGTTGGGTCGTCTAGCTAGTAGAAGTGGAGGCTATGTACCTGCTTGGTGCGTGCCGCGTGCGTCGCGCTCCCATGCTTGCACGCTTGCGCACACGCCCGCCTCGAAAATCATCTTGCTGGCAATATATTTCCTTGGCGAATCCCTTGGCGCAGTGCTCGTAGAAGATAAATGTACGATATTTACCGTGTGGTCGCATAAGATACCACACCCCCCGGATCGAAAGCTCGACTGCTGTACTCCACGCGCGTACTCCACAACGAAGAGGGTGCCGAAACCAAACGGTCCGCTTTCGGAAAGCACTAGTGAAGACGGTTCAAACCCCGCCATTTTCGGCCCCGTCCCTAATTTTGCTGCAGCCTGCTGTAGTCGAGGGTTGTTGATCGGTCCAGGGGGTGTGTTGCGCGACGTAACGTACGAAACTAAACGACTTCCTGTGTTTTCTGCATACATGTATGCATGCAATGGGTAATTTGTACTTGGAAGCAAATTGACAAAACGATGTAAGGTCTCCAAGCTGTGACTGCTCTCGCACCCGTTGCATTGAGTGTACTTTTGACTCGCGTGATTTCCGCGAAAACCATAAAATAAAAAAGAGAGCAAGAACGCAAATGAAAGAATGGGATTCGATTTGAGCGATTTGTAGATGGGGCCTCTCAAGACTCCCACGCCCAACGGGCTGATGCTGTGTGACTCAGCAAACGAGTGTGGTACTGCCCCAAGCAGAATAAAAGTTTCCCACGAGCTCCTCCGCATCTCTGCTGCGGTGCATATATTTCTTCATGTTGGTATTACTACCCGTGCTTCGTTTCTTGGAATCCCGCGATCATTGGACATGGTTTTCTATCCACGGCCACCCGGTTGTCAAGCAAAGTTGGCATCCTTTGATTCAACGAGGGCTGCCCACGGTTTATTGGACACTAGCATAACCCTCTCAAAGTGTTTTTCAGCCCTTTCCATGCCTCTCATGGTTAATCGTCGTTGAAGTACGTTGTCTGTTTGGGGTGTCGGCGCGTGTACTATGTTATCACGCTCGCGGGCTCTTGTCGAGAGCGTGTTGCACAAAGGAGTGACTCAAGTTCCTTGATTAACTATTAACGAGTGACAAGCATGAGCAGCAGGCAAGAAGGACCTGCTGCTGCACACACGTCTGCATATACCCAAACCTATCATATATGCGTACCCCCTCGGATATCTCGGAGATCTGTATCCTGCCGAGTACATACACAAACAGCCCCCCTACTCGGTACGAGATACGATCTACGAACCTTCCGTACATATCGCCAGGTAAAACGGCAACAAAACCAAAACCATTCATCTTTCATATTCACAAATCATCTCAACTTCCCGATCTATTGAATATTCAAATTTCAAGTTACTATTCCTCCTTAATCCACTACTATGTATGTTGGAACTTCACTAGAGTCTTAACAATCATCCCTCTCGAGAAAATGTCGTCACCAAATTCTCAAGCAGCCAAAAACCAAGAATCATCCTTAGAAAAATACTCCGCAAAGATCAACATTACATCAGAGTCACGTCATGAAGACTTTGGACGGACAACTCCGGAAAAACGTGTCAACTATTACTTCGGACAAGATCCTCGCACAAAACCATGTTTCAGCTCATTGACCAATCTCAAATAAGCTTCGGAAGCACATAGGCCTCAACCATGTCTTACCAAAATATGCCAATTCCTTCCTTCAATATATCATTCAGAAAAACCAAAATACCAAATACGGCAAAAGAGACAACGGTTAAAAACCCGGCGCATATTTAAACGCCAGAGGAAACTTTCACCAATTAAGCCGTTTCTCAAACAAAGAGACAACATCAATTTCTTAGCAGCCCCTGGCCACAATATCTCCCAAAACATAAAAACTTAACAGCCCTCCTGCTGAAATAACTCCCGAAACAGAAAATGCAAGCCATCCAGTATTTCGTCTGGATTGCAAGAAACAGAATACAAAACATATACCGATTGACATCTCCCCTTCGACATATCTCCGACCATGGAACTCAATCCGTCCTACAGCAATACATGCAAGGCACAACTCTCGAATACTAACAACGAGAAAACAAACAAATATCATGAACTTATCTCCGAAAGCCGCAGGTAATACGCGGAATCGGAAACAAACAAGAAATTCTCCTCATTTCCGCAGGTAAAATGGGGAAAACGTTTACAAAATGAACAAAAACCAAACCCGAACGTCTGCTAGAACGCTGCTTGTACTGCGACGAGGATCATGGCATCACAATCACATTCATCCCCCCCCATGATTTTCGACAGCAGTGCTAGCAGTGGTCCAACGATGTCAACTGAACCATTCGGCGTGCTGAATTCTTAGATTATCCAAACTCAATGCCCAACATATGAAAATCACAATGTAACCAACCATGCGCATCGCAACTCTAAGTCTACGTCGACACAGTTCTCAAACTCATGGTTTTCGACAAACAAAACAAAACCAAACCTAGAAATAACCCAAACACAATAATTCTCACAAACGTGCCTGAACCGCGCGTAGATCCAGAGCTGCGTCGTTGCAACCATCGGTCATCCCCCACTGGAGCTCCCGATCACGAAGTCTCTTACTTCCTCCTCTGGAGATCCCGATCACCAAGTCTCTCACTTCATGCCGCACACTTCTGCCACGATCGATCCTCCCTTCCTGGCATTACCCCCCATCGTCCCGCACGACGTAGATGCCATTGCTCACGGTCGGATGGGCGCCGGGATGCCTTGCACCGGCGGACAACGCCCCGATGCCGCCGTCACCGCTGCCGTCGCTACTGTTGCCACCTTCGTCGCCATGGCCCAACCAACAGCTATCCTCATCGCACTCGTCCTCCGGCTCTTGCGCTGCTGACGCTTTAGCCGCAATTCCCTGCGTCCCAACCGGCTCCCACACCGCCGCCGCGGGCAAGACTCTGCTGCCGGGGGTCGCCGCTCTCGCCGCCGGTGCTGCCGTCCATGCCGCTGCTCCCGCCGCGAGTGCCTGCGCCCCGGCCGTCTCCCCTGCCGCCGCCGCGGGCAAGATTCTGCTGCCGGGGGTCGCCGCTCTCGCCGCCGGTGCTGCCGTCGATGCCGCTGCTCCCGCCGCGAGCGCCTGCCCCCCGACCGTTCCCCCCGCCACCGTAGTGGGGAAACCACCATCAACGGTCGCCGCTCCTGCCGCAGGTACTGTTCCCCATGCCACCGCGCCAGCTGCAAACACGGGGAGCATCGCCTCCTGTCGATGCCTTTGCCTCCTCCAGCGTCGTCGCTTCCGCTGCTGGTGCGGCATAGCGTCGTTGCCATTCGCGTTGAGACCCTCTCCGTCACCGACGGGCACGTGCTGTTGCATGCGGTCGATTGTGCAACACATGCGGCGCCGATGGCCATACTCACCGCAGGCAGTGCAGTTGCCTTCAAAGCGTCGTGGCGCATTGCAGTCGCCAAGTGAGTGTCCATGCCTCCCGCATCTCACGCACTGATGAACGACACCAATCAGAGCACCCTGCGGCGAAGCTGACTCCTCTTGCGGGTACACAGCGTTGCGCCCACAGTCATAGAGCCCCCCAGATCCCCACGTCGGGAAGTTAGGAGGTGGGTAATGTGCAGGTGGTGGCTGAGGACGAACCCACTGCTGCTGCTCCCGCTGTTGCCGCCACCGCCGTTGTAGTCCCCCCTGACCGTGGCCACCATGACCGGACCCAAGCCCACCAACCGTCACCGCTGCCGCCGGTGCCGCCTGCGCTTTGCCCAATTCCTTCATCATGACCTTGTTGGCGTATGCCGCGCGAACAACGTTTTCCACCTTCGCTCGGGAAATGGTGGGGTCGGCCAGGATGGACTTGCGTTCGATATCGTACTCGTGCGCAAGCTGGCGGACAATGATGTGCACGATAGCCCGCTCAGATTTTTCGATGCCGACAGCTTTCATGATGTTGATCACTCCGTCTACTCTGGCGAAGAAGAGTTTCGGGTCCTCGCCGGGATGCATCTCAATCGTCTCAAGTCGCCTCACAAGCAACGTCTTCTCAGCGTCAAGAGTAGGCAACAGCCATTCGTGGATCACGCTCCACGCCTCAGGGACGCAGTCGCAAGCACCCAACCGTTCTTCAATGTCCGTGCCGCAGGTTGCTTCCAACATGTACCCCCACGCCCGCTGGTGAGCTGCCACCAGATGTGCACCGTGAGTCTGGTTCAGGTATGTGCGATCCAGACAACTGATAACGTTGACATAACCAGTAGATGGCATGTGGTCAAGGGTTCGCTCCAAATCCTCGACAGCCAGGAAATTCCGCATTCTCCGAAGCCAGCTCACGGCCTTCGTCGAATTCGTCGGGATTTTGGGCGGGTTGCGACTGCTGCTGTAACCGCTCAAAGCACAATTTCCGTCATTTTTCATGCTCACCCGTTGTGTACCGAGCCCAGCTCCACCAGCTGCCCCGGCAGTCGTTCTTCCGGCAGCCATTGCTCCTGCCGGTGCATCGTTCTTCTCCCTTAGATGCCCATATTCCATCTCCGTCCAGTACTTCTCCCACATGTTCTTCCTCCGCCTAATTACGCCGCAAAAAAAAAAAATGCGGCACGATGTATCTCCTACTGCTAGACTTATTCTTGTTCACGTAACTGGATCTCCTTGGCACGCTTACCGCTGCTGCCCTTGTATTCCAAATGCTGTCCCTGGATCTCCTTGGCGCGCCTGTCGCGGCTGCCCTTGTATTCCAAACTCTTACCCTGGATCTCCTTGGCATGCGCGGGCAAAAACCGCCCTGCTGCTGCTGCCCTCGTATTCCAAACCCTGTTCCCTGGATCTCCTTGGCGCGCGCGAGCAAAAACCGCCCGCTGCTGCTGCCCTTGTGTTCCGGTGCCTACCTCCCGAACCTTTCCCTACCGACGTCAGCTGACTACACGATATCGTGTTTGGGGTGTCGGCGCGTGTACTATGTTATCACGCTCGCGGGCTCTTGTCGAGAGCGTGTTGCACAAAGGAGTGACTCAAGTTCCTTGATTAACTATTAACGAGTGACAAGCATGAGCAGCAGGCAAGAATGACCTGCTGCTGCACACACGTCTGCATATACCCAAACCTATCATATCTGCGTACCCCCTCGGATATCTCGGAGATCTGTATCCTGCCGAGTACATACACAAACATTGTCCATGTTTTGTTCGTGTTGCTTTTTTGTGTTCGGTGTGCGAAGACCCCACGCAAAGCGCCTCTTTTTCCCCCTGTTGTTGTGGTGACCGAATCTCATGGCAGCGATCCACATCATTGGGGTCCAGGTGCTTCCTAAGCTGGCGAGCCGCAGGTCGGCGAACATTGATAAGGGATATTTTTAAGGAGGGTGGCGCGAGAATGTACACCAGCATCCAAACCGTATTGAAGGACATGTGAGCGACGAATGGAGGTATCGTTGCAACTGCAGTACCCGCTCTTGCCTTGTGTTTTTTCGATGGAAGAAGTTAGCCTGTTGGGGGTCTGTTCAACTGTGCTTGTGACATGAACCGTTTGGGTGATGAGGTGATTGTGTCCTTGGTAGCGAGTGCAGATGTGGTCTTACACAGTCGCATGTTTCTATTGTTCTTGTTCGGGGGCGCACCCTGTGTTGCTTGTTGCTAATTCTAGCACCCTAGGGACATGATGTGGCGATTCACCAAGAAACGCCTGGCTTCGTCGAGTGCCTATTGGCGAAAAGGCGACTTTTGGGACAGGACTTGCTTCACGAGTCCTCCCTCGCGCAGGTGACAGAATGGGTGTTTGCAGGTTGTCCTTCATTTTACCTAGCAGATTTCCCCTGAACACTACCAACCGAGGCCTAAAAGGTGCCATGGGCAGCTTTGATTTCTTCCCACGCCTAGGCCAGGAGTCATCCGACTGCATTTGTTGTTTCCCGATTTCCGATCAATCGCTTTTCCCGCCACGCTACAAGACGCACTTGTGGGAAAGCATAGGGGAAGGGGTGCTTATCCCGATTGATACTTTCGCCGGAAGTGGAGGCTACTCATGCTTCTACTGTGTGGCCTAGTACCGTGAAGAGAACAGAGTACCAACTGTGCTGTTGAAAGAACCAGCGGGAAGTAATTTAAGAATGCCTCAGCATCTACCAGAAAAGTATATTGTCGTTTCAATACTACCCTCTCAGATACCCCGCCCATTCGTCCGGAAAAGTGGCAAACACGTTGAAACCTCCTCCCGGTGTTCTTGATCCGCAAAATTGAGAACCCACCCCACCAACCTCGGGGTAGTCGTTGTCGGGATCAAAGATTGCCCAGCCCCCCGGGATGAACGCAAAATAGCTACAACCGTGCCTTTCGGCAATCTACAGCTTGCCTCACCTCCGTCGTAGTATAGAAATGATCTTTCGCATCCTGGACGTACGTCGGAAGATACGCAATTAACGGAATACGCATGCTTCTTTGGCTCATCACCCCATCGGCCTACCCGTGACTTGCCCTTCCCTTCGTTCCGTTCGGCCACAATTTTTGTGCAACATGCAGCACGCCAGGTCATGGCGCCCTCGTCGCCATGCTTCCGCCATCCTCACAGAGGATGGGAACCCGAGATAATGCGCTTCCTCTCCCCATTTGCGGACGGGAAGGGAAAGCCTGACATCATGCGCTTCCTCTCCCCGTTTGCGGACGGGAAGGGCAACCTCATCGTGAAGGAACCCTGCTCGAAGACGTGCGCTTCGACGTTGTCGACCTCGGGCCTATTCGTCGACGACATGAAGTGATGGCTGAGTGTTGTGAGCACTCATTCCTTCTTCATGAAGTTGAGCTTCCGCGCGGGGTCGCGAATCTGTTGGGAATACTCTCGGGCGTGGCGCTTTGTGTGGCGGTTGACTATGTCCCAGCCGTAGATTGCCCATGGTCAGAGTATTCGTCAGTTCCAGCCCAATATCGCGATGCGGTGGTTTACTTCTGCTATAATAACCAACCGGTAGGCACGTGCGTAAGTTGGAATGGATATAGTTGATATTTCGTCCGGCAGGGGGGGAGGGCGCAACCAAGCATTGCGTGTGGACGGGAAAGAACATCATACGGTACACGGTATTTTTTTGCCATTCGTGGAGCGCATATATTGCAAAGATTGCCGGCTTGAGCGGGATGGAGAGGATTGCAACTGCTTGAGTGCCGTTTTTTTAAAGACAAGGGAGGTTTTCTTAGTCTGTGATGTGTATCGTGTGTCCTGGCCTTTTGTTATTTTATCCTATGCTTAAAATGTCGGGTACTGTTCCAGCAAAAGCAAGACGTATCGGTAGTCTGTGGATCAAGGCGGGTACCGGTCGCGCCACCACTAAACCTTTTTTTGGTCGATGCTTGTTCTTGTTTTGTCTACGGGGTACCCCCATAGCGACTGTATAGGCTTTAGTGTAGTCTTGCTGGAGCACCTGAGTTCTTATATTTTGGATTTTTTAGGCTCAAGTTCTTAATTGAGTGGTGGCGCGTTCTGCCACGACACGAGACGTTGAACATGAAAGCAACAAAAAAAAAGTCCCGCGATCGCGATGGCACATGAAAAAAATAATATGTACCAGCACAGACACCAACACTGAAATCGCTGCCGCAGTTTGCTTGCAGGGTGCTATTCGGGACACCCGGCAGGGTGAACCCTGGCAGGGTGTCCATTATAGACGCTGCAGCCGGTTCACCCTTCTGCCGTTTACAGGGTAGGGTGCCTTGGCAGGGTGGTTTTTGGCCACCCTGCCAGGGTAGCCATTTGGCCACAGGTGTGCCACTTTCCGCCCATGCGTGTCTCGAAGAACGTGTTCGTGAGAGCTGGCCTGTTTTCCGTTGCGAAATTCAGCAGTAGCATGCCATTGGCGTTGAGCTCATCGGGCCCGTACATTGCTATTATCCTTCCGTCCCCTCCAACCTCTCTCCCGTCCGCGCGTTGGCGTCCATTAGGACATACACAAATTCTTTGGAAGGGATCCTCCGCACGAGACCGTCAAGTTTTCCCAGAAGATGCGCTTGCTGTCGGCGGTTGAAGGTTCGGTTGGAGCATACGCGGCTACGAAGTTGACCGCTCCACGGTGGCCTGCCACCAGAAACCTCATGGCCATAAGGCGTTCGTCGATAAACTCCGTAATGAACGTGGATGTCTTGCACAATGACTCTTTGAGGGATGTCCCCACACCATGGACTACACCCGTCTCCGTGCCTTATAGCAGAACACCCGGACACCCGCTGCTGCAATTTCTGTTCGACCTGCCCTCCGTGTCTCCTGCATTCCTACGATACGTCTTGTCTCTTGAAAACCTCCTTTTCGTCAACCGTTTACCACGCCCCCGCCAGTTGCTGTCTACGACCCCTATCCGTGTCCCCTCGATATTCGAGGGATTATAGACAAGAGACGGCTAAATGTGAAGGCAGCTTTGCGCTTGCACCCAGGGATGGCACTGTGTGCACCATCCAATAATGATCAGGCGTCGTTCGCTCTTTTTCTTATATTTGAGAAATTCGCAAGAACGCCGAATTTTTGTGCGTGGTAATAGGGTTGGACTAATCAAGTCAGGTTTTTAAGCCCTGGTCTCCGTCGGAAGCGATGCGCTGCAAAGCGCGTTGTTCGTTGTTGTTGTTGTTGTTGTTGTTGTTGTTGTTGTTGTTACTGTTGTTATTGTTGTTTCTCACATTATTAGCTCTATTATTGTCCACAAAAATGGGGAGCCCGTGGTCTCAAAACCCGGGACATACATGCATGTGTATACGACGCCGCGGGGAAATAAAACAAAAGTAGGGTACAAACCACTCGAAAAAAAGAAAACAAAACGATAGAAAAAAAAAATATAGAAAGAAAATAACTGCAATTGTCTGAGGGCAAACAAAATACTAATAGTAATAATAAAACAACAGGTACCGCACCAACCGTTCGAGAAAAAAAGAGCCGTCGGAAACCGATCAACACAAAACAAAAACAAAAATAATAAAGGAGGAGGACTCTTCCCACACCCGCCTAAAGAAAATATCAAAGGGTAGTGTACCAGCACCAGGCACTACGCACCAGGGCATGGGAGTAACGGAGCAAACAGGACAAAGAGGCGGCAGATGGGCAGACAGCCAGATGTACAAAAAACAAAAGCAACAGCAAAAAAAGCGAGATCAAGGTACCCAACACAGCAGAGTAGTGTAAAGGATATGCACGCGCGGTGCAATCTGGGAGACCCGTGAAGACGAACCCACTTGTTATTAACTCGTGTGGAACAGCAGTAGCTGTTGCCAAGGGAACGTGGAGGACTGACTAGGATGGGGCCAGGATCAGCTGCTGAAGCAGGGGTTACTTGATCCTGTCCCCTGTTTTGTCCTTCCGTGGGGAGTTGCATCTCCCGCACTTTTCTCTGGGCATTAGCCCGCACTACCGTTTGTACTTTCCTATACATTCAAATCCCATAGATCAAGGTACCCAACACAGCAGAGTAGTGTAAAGGATATGCACGCGCAGTGCATTCTGGGAGACCCGTGAAGACGAACCCACTTGTTATTAACTCGTGTGGAACAGCAGTAGTAGCTGTTGCCAAGGGAACGTAGAGGACTGACTAGGATGGGGCCAGGATCAGCTGCTGAAGCAGGGGCTACTTGATCCTGTCCCCTGTTTTGTCCTTCCGTGGAGAGTTGCATCTCCCGCACTTTTCTCTGGGCATTAGCCCGCACTACCGTTTGTACTTTCCTATACATTCAAATCCCATAACACTAGCCCACCCTGGAGGTTCTCATACGCAGATACTAAATCTCGGAACTTGACAATTACTTGTCAAATCCCAAATGAGAGTATCGAGGATGCGGAGCTCCAAAATACCACATTTTACCCCCCCACACCTCTCACTCGATGGGTCGCAAGACCATCGTTTGACCTAGAATAAGAAGGTACAGAAAGCAAATAAACTGGGGCTAACAGAGAGGAAACCAACGGGAGAGCCGCAACAGGCGAAGGCTACAAATACCATGTCAGGTCAGAACCCAAAAGAAAGGGGAAAAAGGACACGAAAGAAAAGAACAAAATAAGCGTCGCCGGAGCGACGAAAAAGGGACGGTGAAAAAAAGGCCTGCTGTATCGACAAAACGATAAGATACGCCAAATAATCACCACGGTAGCGTGGGGGCGACAACAAAGGTCACGAAACACCTTCAGCCCGTAAACTCTAAGAAGTAGAGGCAAAAATATACGGAAATGTACAAAAGCACCACAACGTACCAAAAAGGCCGGAAACCAAACGTTTCGGAAGTGAAGCCAAGAAGAAGAGGGGTCGTGACACCAAACAACAGTTGGCAAAACCTCGGCAAGGAACAGAGAAAGCCCGACCTGGCGGACCATTGAAGCCAAAAGAAAGAAAACGAGAAAACGAAAACAAATAATGCTATTGCAAGAGCAACAGAAGGCAAAACAACCAAGCATGCCATTTTAATGTGGGCGCGCGACGTCATCAGACAACGAAGCGGTCACAACGTCGCCACGCGACATGTGTATGTTGCGAAGAACACCCTCGAATGGGGCGCTGCCGCAGTGTACTTTGAGGCACCAGGATCCGGGGACGGCGGCTTCGACGGTAGAGTAGCGAACATCGGGAAGGGCGAGCTTGACAGGTCCAGGATCGTCCAAGAAGCGGACGACGTAGAAGTCGGACGGCAGAGGCGGTCCAGAAATCTGGCCCAACCACCAGAGTCCATCTTGTGGCTTGTACCAGAAGAAGGCGCGCACCGGTAGAGGGGTGTTGGCGAATAGACGGTGCCATGTTGAACGGGAAACAAGCGAGTTGCCCGAAGGCAAATCTCGCGCACCTTGAGCACGCGCCAATTCCCTGGTAGCGGCTCCAATGTGCATCGCACGATAACGGCGATTTGTTTGGCGATGTTGGTCAGGCGAACCTGCCCAGTACCGGAGAATGTGCGGCTTGGAATGCTGCAGGTTCATCTCACGCTCCCAAGAAGGGCGCAGAAGGCCCTGCCAGTGTGTCTGATATAAATAGCTATCGTGCCCCCACGGCCACGGACGGACTGGTGGCCACAAATGCGTTCAACCTCTAAACGTTCAACCGGAGTTGACACGTCGTCTTCCGTAACATGGTAGGGAGGAGATTTGTTCGCGTAAGAGTTCAGGACATACGGAGTAAGAGAAGCAGGCAGAAAGCGCGGTAGGTCATCGGTGTCATGCGGGTTGGCGCAAGGATTGCAACGCACAACCGAAACACGAGGTTTCGAGTCTTGGCCCGGCAGGTCCGAAGGAAGATCCAGGGAAAACAACTTGGAAGCCAAAGGACCACTGTCAGGGCTGTCAGAACATGGGCCCACAGCCAAGATTTTGAAGGGGCCAGTCCAGAGTAGAGATAACTTGGTTTTGAGAACCTTACCATCTGTGCCTGAACGAACGCCTTGTCGAATAGTAGATTCGGAGTTATACACCCAAACCCATCCACCAACAGTGTAAGAAGGAAGCTTATGGAAAGCGTCCTATAGGGTGGAATTACGCCGCTCAATCCGCGAAACGGAGTGGCCACGAGCGTAAGGATGCTCAAGAACAGTCATCGGTAAACGAGGCTGTTTGTGTATGTACTCGGCAGGATACAGATCTCCGAGATATCCGAGGGGGTACGCATATATGATAGNCAGGGTGGAATTACGCCGATCAATCCGTGAAACGGACAGGTCATGCTGTTCACGCACCAAGTCTTAAGAACGACGTTGGCGATCAGCAGCAAGATCGCAATGTTCGAGTTGATCGCGATGCAAGCTTTTGTGGCCACGAGCGAAAGGATGCTCAAG